CATACGCAGAATCATGGAATTGGACGGAAGACATGTAACTATGGGGTCTGTGTCAAAGGAGAAAATTATACGGATGCATCAGATGATGCTGATTTCTACGGGACCTTAACTGATATCATACAACTGGAGTATGAGGGAATGGTAAATTTGAAGATCACACTTTTTAAGTGTAACTGGTATGACCCTGTTATTGGTAGAGGCACTCGAAGGAGCAATGGCGGCATTGTTGATGTTCTTTCATCAAGAAGATATAACAAATATGAGCCATTTATTCTGGGTATATATAACTAAATATTTACATACATATTTTATATATAGTTATTGACATTTGTATATGTTGATATTTCACAGCTTCTCAAGCGGACCAAGTTTGTTTCATCCCGTATCCATACCGGAGGAGACCGAAACAGTTGTGGCTTAACGTGTTAAAAATAAATCCGAGAGGAAATATTTCTGGAGAATATGAAAACAAAGAACCTGCTCTATTGCAAGAAATTAATGATGATGCTGTCATGCTGACTACGATTGAGGATCTCGTGGTTGACAACCGAGTGCACGGGGTGAATCCGATAAATCTTGATTTCGACGTTGGAGATGCAGAACCTGATGATGAATTTCATTGTAATTTATCCTCTTCAGATGATGATGAGGAGGCCGAGGAAGAACCTTACTAGATTGTCTGAATCATTGTATTCTACTTTTCTATTTTAAATCAAACAATGTAATGAATAAGTTGTATAATTAAGTATGTTAATCTTGTCTATTACTAATAAAAACATTGCGACTAAATGGCGACCGGAAAACGACTACGGAACTCTTGCGACTGAAGACCGACTAATCAACGACTACATTGGCCCATTTAACTAATTTAAAAATCAGGCCTAAGAAAGCCCAAGCCCGATTAATCCTCCAATTTATACGACCTAAACCCGACTAATTAACGACTACTGTGGCCCATTTAACTAATTAAAAATCAGGCCCAATTAAGCCCAATTACCGATTAATTCCCCCAAATCAACGAAATCCCTAAAATTTCCCTAATTCCCTAACCCCGGAAACCCTAATCTCTCTTCCCCTTCTTCGATCTCTCTTCCCCTTCTTCAAATCTCTCTTCCCCTTTGTCCAATCTCTCTTCCCCTTTGTCCAATCTCTCTTCCCCTTTGTCCAATCTCTCTTCCCCTTTGTCGAATCTCGACCATTAACCCCTTTCCGAACCGATGCCTGGGAATGGAAGGAAGAAATACCGACGAGGTGCTTCTTCATCGGCACGGAGAACCAAGTCGCCTCTTCCAGTGCAGTACGAGTTCACTCCGGCGAGCGATAACCGGTCTCCACCACCGGTTGTCCCCTCCTTCACGCATGTGAGGGAATATCCACCGCCGCAGCAACTTTTCGCATCACCGACTCCACAGCCTCATAGTAGAAGCTCAGACTCTCAACCTCACACCTCTCAGAACTCACACCGTCGCACCTCTCAACAGGACTTCTCACACCGTCGCACCTCTCAACAGGACCTCTCAGCATCTCCCCTTTCTCAAGACCGGACTTCTCAATCATCTCAAGCTCAAACCGCTCGCTCAGCTGAAGCTCAGAGTTCTGGTGAAGAAGCTTCCTTTGAAGAATGCACTGCAAACCTCGCGGAAGACCAGCTGAGAATCCTTAATGCACTGCTTACCAAGCCTGGCCGGGAAGAGTATACGACGGTCCTCTCTCCCACTCCGAAGCCTAATACAACATGGTAAGATTCTCTATCCTCCTTATCTCTGTTTCATTTCTCTTTGTTTGTGTTAATTAGTGTTGATTCATTTCCATTGTTCCATTTGTGTTGATCATTTGCATTGTTTCGTGTCTTACTAGGTTCGGTCGTTACAAGTCTTCATTGACTAGGAAGATTACTAAAATCTTCACAAACAAGTTCGATGGTGAGTTCTATTCTTGGACTTGTGTGCCTCGGGAAAGACAAGAAAGATACTTCGTGGAATTTGCGGTAATGTTCTACCATTTCATTTTATTTTTGTTTGGTTTTTGCTTACTGTTCAATATCATATCTATTAATATGCATTACTAACATCATCTTTTCTATTTTCATGCTAGAAAACCCATACATGGGATCCTTTAATCATCGGAGTGGTCCAAGAGCATTTTGAGGCTATCTGTCAACGCAGGATGAAAGACATGGTGAGTACGTGTAGAACTTCTCGGGAGCAGCCGAACTGGATCAACGACACACTGTGGAAGAAGATGATTAAGGTCTGGGATACTGATGACTGCAGAGAGAGGAGTGCGACAACATCAGCGGCTCGGTTGTCTGAACGTGGAGGTCTAGGTCCGCATGTACAGCTATCAGGACAGAAGTCATACCTTCAAATCCAGCAAGAGATGGTATGTTACCTTGTCCATTTTTAGTATTCAAATCATTTCATTTCAAAAATCATTTTCATACCTTACCTTATTCATCATTTTTCAGGAGGAGGAATTGGGAAGACCAGTGAGTCTTGGTGAAGTTTTCATCAAGACTCACACAAGACCAGATGGCACTTATGTTGATCGAAAAGCTCAGGCTGTAGCTGAAACCTATAAGAAGAACTTGGAAGCCAAGTTTGCTGAGCTCTGGACAGACATAGGAGAGAACAACGAGCTATCTCCTCGGCCTGAGCTATCCATAGCATAGGACAACGAGCTATTTCTTCAGGTATGCTCTTTTTTTGTTTGTTTTTTGTGTTTTACGCAATAGCTGTTTGTATGTTTGGTTTTCATACTAATCACTCTTCTTTTTTTTGCAAGTCGACTTTCACCAATGAGAGAGGAGTACCTTTTGGTGTAGGAAGCCTTTCTCAGTCACTTGTCAACGGCAAAAGGAAGTACCCTGGAAGCACTCTTGCATTCAACACACTGCAAGATCAATTACAACAAGCTCACAAAAAGATAGAAGAACAGGCGGCTGAGAATGCAAGGCGTGAAGCAGAGCATACCAAGGTTGCAGCTGCCCAACAAGCCAAGATCGAGCAATTGACATTGCTCGAAAGGTACCTAAGCGAAACTGATCCAGGGTTCTTGGACTTCAAGGCTACTCACTCTGTTCCCACGTCTTCACCTCCAACCCCTGTTACAACAGCTGCTGCAACTGGTGATGCTCCAAACGGTGCTTCAACAGCTCCTCCAACCGATGCTTCAACAGCTCCTCCAACTACTGCTCCAACTACTCAACCGCAAGATCCTCTAGGTTTCTCATCTCTATCAAACTCATTTTGATTGTCTCCTTTATTTTGTGAACTTGACTCCAATGGTTGAATATGGTTTTTGTGCAATGGTTGGATATGGTAACCATTGGATTTGGTAATGTTTTGTTTTGGGAACAACGGTTTTATTTGTCATGATGTAATACATTTTAGGAAACAATGCTTTTAATTTTTATGGCAAATGGTTCTTATATGAAGTTTTTGTTTACTGCATTTTGTATTTGCATTTTGTATTTGGTTTAGAATTGATTTTAGATACCAAAATTAGCACCATCAATAAGCATTACCAACTTTTGTAATCCGCAAAGAAAATAGTCGCAAATTGGACAGAACTTAGTTGTAATTCAATCGCAATTTAGTCGCTAATTAGTCGCTAATTTTTCAAACCAGTTGTTACGTAGTCGGTAATCAGTCGTATCCAAATCACTATGTTGTCGTTAATTAGTCGCAAAAGTAGTCGCCAATATAGTCGCCAACTGGTCGTAGATTGGTCGTTAAACTTAACGACTAATTAGCTACTCCTTTAAACGACTAACTAGCGATTACAATGCAGTCGGTAGATAATCGTAACTTAGTTGTACAACAGTCACCAAATATTACGACTAATCAACGACTGATAAACGTCATCATCTTTTAGTCGGCATTTAGTCGTGAATGTACGACTGATTAACGACTGTTGTGATTTGCGACTAAATATTTCCGACTCGATGCATTAGTCGGTAATTAGACGTTAATAAAGAATTAGCGACTAAACCCCGACTAATTGTGGTGTCGCAAATTACCTGTAATCTTGTAGTGGAAGAAAAACATGCTTCCGCATCCGGAATCGCCAACGAAACATTGCATCATCATATGTAGGTTGATTGGCAAAGTAGTCGTCAATCAGTCTTTGGTTTGCCGCTTCATGATATCGCCTGAAGTATTTTCTCTTGCTAGGAAGTGGATAGTCTTCCTCTATTTTGTTTCGACGCTCCCTAAACCGGTTGAGAATAAACCTCTCTTCAATTTTGGACTGTCTTTTGTAAGCTTTGATATTAAAAGGAAATTCTGATGGATCCATTGATATCTTTTAGAAAGATGATATTTGAGGTATTGGTAAATCAATAGGAGAATAAGCCCTTATTTATAAGATAATAGCACCAACAAAATATGTGGTTGGAGAGTTGGATTGAAATTGAGTGGACGAAATCAAAAGAATTAGATAAGGAATAGATTTCTCTCATAAAAAGCCAAAATCATGGATTCGATAAAGATTGGCTTGAAATTGAGTGGGTGAGATTGAAAATACTGGATAAAGATTAGATTCTCCCAATAAAAGCCGAAAGTGACAAATTGAATAAAGATTGGATTGAAATTGAGTTGAGGAAATAAAAATAAAATTTATAAGTAATCTTATAAACCCTTATAAATAATCTTATAAATCTTTATAATTAATTTTATAAACTCTTATAAAATCTTATAAACTCTTATAACCCTTTAGTAGTATTATTAACTTTTATAAGTAATATTATAAACATTTATAAAAAAAATTTATAAACCCTTATAAGTAATCTTGTAAACCTTTATAAAAAATATTTAGCATGATTAATATTATTTATATGGATTTTTAAACATTTTAAAATGACAAACACTCGTTATTAAAGCATAAATTGACAAACACACATTATATAAACATAAATTTCCAAACATACATTATTAAGCATAAATAGACAAAACATAAACAAATACTTGTCGATAATCAATCTTTAAAGAGATCTTGACCTAACTTCTCCAATATTTTTTTCTTCGGTCATCGTGATGCTCTTTTTCACTTAACTTCAAAAACATATTTATCTTCTTAGCATGAGTCCTTTCTTTCATCAATTGGTTTGCCTCATCTTGCTTCATGGCTATTGCGTTCAATCGTTCCAACTCTTTCTCTTTGTATTGTTTGGATTCATTCCACTCTTCGTTGACCACTTCCAAAGCTGCGCCCTTACCTTTCTTTTTGGCCTTTTTTTAGTTGCATCCCTCCCCATTTGACGAATACTAGATCCTACAGAGTTAGTGTCACTAGCATCACTCTCGTGGGCTCTCTTAGATCCACTGCTTCCAGAGCTGGTATTTCCTCCTACCTGACTACTATAACGTGGTTGATCACGGACAGCGAGCCATTCTTCCATTAACTTGAAAGTTCCATTATCAGCACTTCTTCCATTAACTTGAAAGTTCCATTATCAGCACTTGCATATAGTTCTTGCGCTTTTGCCAATACATCATGCTCCGACCACCCGCTTTGTTGCATACGCTTTGCGTTAGGCCAACCCATTTGCCCAAAATTTTGTTTATATAGTTGTAATGATTTCTGCAAGAAATCCCATCACGTGGAGGATCAAATGAGCAATGCTCGTTACAGTAATCAGCAATTTTACCCCAATATTTTTCACCTTTTTGATTTTTGCCAACAATGCTGTCTGTTCCATATTTAATCCACCCATTCAACAACACCAAATTTTGCTGAGTGGTCCATTTAGCGTGTTTCTTCCAAGCAGGAGTTGAATCTTCTGCATCAGGAGTGGTTTCATGAACACCACTCATACCACCAAGAGCAATTTGTGTAGAAAATTCAGAAAATTCAATTGCTCCAACATTTGGAACAATTTCATTACCCATTGGAGTAGAAAAACAATGATGTATGTTCCATATTTAATCCACCCACTCAACAACACCAAATTTTGCTGATTGGTCCATTTAGCGTGTTTCTTCCGAGCAGGAGTTGAATCTTCTGCATCAGGAGTGGTTTCATGAACACCACTCATACCACCAAGAGCAATTTGTGTAGAAAATTCAGAAAATTCAATTGCTCCAATATTTGGAACAATTTCATTACCCACTGGAGTAGAAATATAAGGAGGTGTTTTAGATGGATATGGCATCACCAATCCATAATATGGACGAAAGTTTGGAACAGCTGACGGCATGAAAAAATTTGGTGGATAACCATAATTTGGTATATTTTGGGGTTGATTTGAAGATTGGTTTGGAAAAGGATAATTGTTAGGATTTGGGTAGTTAAAAGGATAATTAGAAGAGGTTTGAGAGCTAAAAAGGTTATTATTTGGATCTATTTTACTAAAAATACGGGTAAAAAAATACATAAGAGCTTATTTGAAACTAATAAAAAAATATAGTAAAAAAAGACGGGTTTTTTTTCTGTGTCCAAAAGAATGAAACAAGTCTCTATTTATAAAGAATAAAAAATAATGAATTTTGGTATAAAAAAATAAATACAATATAATTTTCGTTGAAATAATTGAGCTCAAATGATTTGGATGAGAAAAAATATAAAAAATCACAGCATCCAATAAGAAAATAACACATGTCTTTATCTATATATTAATTTATTTATTTTTTTCCGCCCAATCAATTAATGACACTTGTCTCTGCTTTTTGGTTTTCAACTTGTTGAATGTTTTCAACACAAATGAATCCATATCATTTTTTTTTTGTTTAGAGCATGTATATTAGAGAACCTTTTTTGGGGTTCTTAAGATTATTATATTAATTTTTTTTTGTTTTATGAACAGTGAATAAATTTTTAGCATTTTAGTCATTCTTTGTTGAAATCCGTTAAGAATTTCTTAAGAATAAAATATTATTTTAAAAATTTTTATTTTCAAAATTTTGTTTTAATTTGCTCTTAATTTTAAACATACATTTCTTATAAAACAAGATTCTGAATAAAGTACATGAAATTTAAAAAATACAAAATACAGGTATATAAATTGTAAATTATTTTTTTTTTTATTTTTATTTTTTGAATAATATGTTAAATTATATTCAAAAAAGAAAGACTTTTTACATGGACTTTTAATGATAAAAGTTCTACTTTTTCAATAACATAAGATTTCTGATTTATCTAAGAAGCTTTTGTGGCAAACCACACTCGTACACCATCTTCAAACTGATGTTTCCCTTGCAATCTGATTGTGCTGAGCCTGTTTCTCATGATGACATCCATTGTTTTCAGAAGTTGTTCATTCGTACAGTGGTCCTCTCCATGTCTTCGCCGATTTCTCTCCCTCCAAATTGAATGTATTGCCATCTGAAATGCATACTTCACAATGAAAGATCGTGAATCCTTCGTCCCCATCGTCATCAGAATGGCGAGAATACTCTGCCAATTGCTCGTATAGTTGGTGCCTTGAATTCCCTTTACCAGCTTCTCCCATATCAGGCTTGTAAAGGGGCAGCTAAAAAATAGGTGCTCACGAGTTTCTCGTGGTTCCGTGCAGAAAGAGCATCCCAGGTTAACATTTATGTTCCATCTCTCCATTCTTTCCCCTGTTTCTAGTCTGTTACGAGCTGCAAGCCAAGTCACAAAAGCATACTTTGGCGTGGAAAACTGGAACCAGATAGCTTTGTGAGCTTCCCAATCAGGATTTGGAGACCTCAAGTTCCCCAGAGTGTCTTTGGTAAGGAATCGACTAGTGTAAAGACCGGTTTTGTTCTTCCAGAGTGCAACATCCTCTTCATCCACCATTCTATTTCTCTTAGCTTCAACAAGCTCATCTTCAATCTGTCTCAGAAGTGGGTATCGGTGTCTTCTGATTCTAGTTCTGTCTAATATACTGCCCAACGTGGCGTTCAGAGATACGCCCAGGTCTATGCATCCTCGCGAACCAAATATATCAAAAAGACAACCCATTGAGCTCCACTCGTCAAACCAGAATGAAATAGAGAATCCATTTTTCAAATCCCATTTATAAAGAGTTTTTGCCACAACTCTGTATTTCAATAGTTTCTTCCATATCCACGATCCCCTCACCGAGTTCTCCGTTACTGACCAGAAAGAACCCCCTCTTATTAAATGTTGCTTCACCCAATCTACCCATAAGGATTTCTTGGACAAAAGCCTCCAAATAATTTTGAGCACACTGACCTTATTAGCCACCTCCAAAGATTTCAGTCCGAGACCTCCTTCTCTCTTTGGAGTGGTAACCACCGACCAAGCAACTTTTGTTTTTCTCGAGTTTAAAGCTGGCCCTGACCATAAGAAAGCTGAACACAGCTTGTCTATCTCCTGTATACACGATTTTGGAAGCCTAAATGCTGATATCCAGAAGTTTGTGAGGCTGAAAACGACTGAGTTCAGAAGCTGAAGCCTGCCACCAAATGATAAAGGTCTCGCAGACCAAGAAGTAATCTGAGACCTGATCTTTTCAATAAGCGGTAAGTAGTCAGCTGATGTCATTCTCCTTGTTAGAAGTGGGAGCCCAAGGTATCGCACTGGGAGATTTCCTGACTCAAACGGAAACTGTTCAATAATAGCTTCCTTTTCTACATTCTCAATACCAGCCATGTAGATGGTTGATTTCTCCAAGCTTATATGCAAACCAGAGTGGATAGCAAAATCATCAAAAACCTCCAAAACACCTTCCACCGATCTCTTATTCCCATCCACAAATACCATTAGATCATCAGCAAAACATAAGTGGGTAAGCTGTAGCTCTTGACAAGTAGGATGATAACCAAACTTTCCTTCCAAAGCTGCTTTATCCAGTTTTTTTGACAGAACATTCATACATATAACAAAGAGGTATGGAGAGAGAGAGCATCCTTGCCTAAGTCCTCTCTTGCTTCCAAAATACCCAGCAAGCTCACAATTTACTTGCACTGAAAAGGATGCAGTGGAGATACATAAATCGATCCAATGAACATATTTTTCTGGGATGTTCAAAGCCTTGAGAGTATTCAGCAGAAACCTCCATTGAACTGAATCAAATGCTTTGGATATGTCTATTTTCATAGCACATCTTGGAGTAATGGTTTCTTTATGATAGTCCTTGACCAGCTCCGTAGCAAGGAGTAGATTTTCCATTAACAGACGATCTTTCACAAATGCTGATTGATTAGGGGCGATGAACTTCGGAAGCACAACTTTAAGCCTGTTTGCAAGAATCTTTGATATGATTTTGTAGATTACATTACAACATGAGATTGGTCTGTAATCTTTCATCGTCTTAGCCTCCTTCTTCTTTGGAATCAATGCTAAGATCGTCGAATTTGCACCTTTGGGAAGAAAACCAAGCTTAAAAAAAGATTGAACCGCTACCACCAAATCCTTTCCCACTATAGGCCAAGTTTCTTAAAAAAATTCTTGGGTATAACCATCAGGGCCTGGGGATTTTTCCTTTGGCATTTTGAACAAGACAGTTTTAACCTCTTCATCAGACACTAAATCGTAAATTATTTAATTATACTCTTGAGAAATACCAAATTTATTCCAGATATGCTCAATTAAATACGCTTTCAATCGTTCATGTATTTATCTATCCCGGACTTGATTTCAAATCCTGATCATATTGCCGAGGTTTTTTAGGCATATCCGTAGAATACGTCATATCCACTTGTGAAGTTCTGCTTGATTCTCCTTGTTGGAATTCTCCTATATTATACTGACTGTAGCCATCTCATTCGTTTTCTACTATCATATTGTGCAATATGATAGATGCTTGCATAGTATTTCCATTTTTTTTCTTATCCCAGAAAAGGGCTGGATTTTTGACAATTGCAAATCGAGCTTGTAGAACTTCAAAAGCACGCTCGACGTCTTTTCGGATGGATTCTTGACAAGTAACAAATAACGATGCTTTCGGACCTTGAGGCAATGGAATAGATTGTACAAAATTTGCCCATTTTGGATAAATACCGTCTGTGAGGTAGTAAGCCAAATTATACTTGTGTCCGTTCACCCAGTATTGCAATTTTGGAGCTCGACCTTGTAATATGTCATCATAAACAGGTGAACGCTCAAGAACGTTAATATCGTTTAAGGTACCTAGAGGTCCAAAAAACGCATGTCATATCCAAAGATCTTGTTATGCTACCGCCTCTAAGACAATTGTCAGTTTTCCACGTCGATATAGATTAGGCGGGTATGTTCCACCGTCACAGAAATACTTGTTCCATAAGCGGATGTGGCCTTGTTCGCGTTCTCTTCTTCTGCTTTGCTGTGGCATGACAGTCTAGAACGGCGTCGAATATATCGTCAAATTTTTGATCAAAGACCTCATCAAAAGTTTTATCAAAAGATTCATCAAAACCATTGTTGGAAGATGATGTTATAATTGGAGAAAAAAAATTGATGGAGAATAGAAATTTGGTTATAGAAATTTAAGAAAGGGAAGAGGAGTTGAAATTTGGTTTAGAAATATTCCAAATAGAAGATGAACTGCAATATTTGGAAAGAATATGTGATCGATATAGGAAAAAGAGAGGAATAGTTCTTAAATACACTAGCATTGCTTGAAAGACATATATAGAGAAGAGGTGATCGATGTTTTCACAATATGTGGTTACCAATCATCATAGAATTTGTGGATTATAAACAAGACCCCGTGACATGTAAAACGAATACAATACAATCCAAAACAAATACAATACAAACAAAACCCCGTGAATCAAAAAGCAACAAGGATGCTATGGTCTTCAAAATCTCGTGAACCAAAAAGCAACCATGGCAATATTGGGTTCCCTTGAGTGACCAACTTCTTGCATAATTAGTGTCGACCATGTCCATCTTACACCTACAAAAAAAAACGAATAGCTTGAGTCATAGAATCAACAAGAACAAACTTGTTCTTAAACTAGTATTTATAGTCAACATAAACACTAAACATTTGTGACATAGAATCAACAACAACAAACACAATATATTACATAGAAAACTTGTTCAAATAACCACAAACCACATATCCAAAAACAAACCCGATAAACCCTAAACCGATATTACATAGCAACAAAAACTACTTAAAAAATACAAACTACTTGTTCATACAACAAAAACTACTAAAAACACAAACTACTAAAAAAAGCTTCATACTTCATTAGTACTTATGCCAACATTTCATTAATAAGCTTGGTCTTGAGGGCTTCTTCTATCTCAGATAATGGTTTGGGTTTAGCCAGGAGATTTTCAAGCAGGTTGCTTTTAGAAAACTTCCCTTTCATCGCAAGATCTTTCTCCTTGATTTCCCACATGCTTTGTAGCTCATTCACATCATTTTCTCCTTTTTTACCACCGCATGTGTCAATTCCTTTCTTTTTTGCAGCCTTCAAGCTTGTACTCCAGGCGGATGAGCCATGCTAACATCCTCTTCTTAACTTTGGGTTTGTGAGCTTGAAGAATGAGCTGAAGTGTCATCAAGCTTCCTTTTTTTTGGCTTTCCACCTTCTTTAGCACCATTTATCGTCGTGTCTAAGTTCCCTCCAAGCATGTTCAAGTTCCCACCATTTATGGTCGTGTCTGCCTTCATCACGTCATTCTCATTTTGCCCACTGGTTTGCTCCTTCATGGCAGTTTCATAACAGCCAACAAACTTACATACATGGTCGTTAATCTGCTGCCACCTCTGCTTAAGCTGAACAGACTCTCCATCTTGTTCATTCACCAGCTGTGGTGAATGGTTAAAATATGCTTTGATTCTTTTCCAAAAAGAACCTGCTTTATGTTCATTGCTGATGACTGGGTCTTTAAAAGTGTTCAACCAAGTGCTTATCAACACCACATCTTCCACAGGCGACCACTTCCTCCTCTCTTTACGCTCATCAGCAGCAGTATTCGGTTGATCAGAGACTTGGGTTCTAAAACTTGGAACTTCAGATGATCCAAGGTCTAGACTCGGTGAAAAACAGAGTGTGTGTTCCTCTTGACTTGTTAAGAGGTTTACAAACCCCTGTGATCTACTATATGATCCAAGGTCTAGAATCCATGTAAGACTCACAAAAGTTTGTAGAATGTTAGAGAAGGATTTTTGAAGGAATAGATAAGAAGTGTGGAATGGTATTTAGAAGAAAAAGTGTTTAGAAAGGCTAAATGTTTAAGAAGTGTGTAAGCGGTTAAGTATTTTTGAGAAAGTTGATGTGAAAGTTTTGATATGTTTCTAGACAAAGGTCCCTTTAATAAGTGGGTTTAAACATTCACAAATGCTTTAACTCTTTGATAAGTTTGTTGTGTGTAGATAGGTTTGATGTGATTTTTAGAAAGCTTTTTAAGCAATCAATGTTTTTTAGAAAGTTTTTTAAGCAATGAATGCTTCACATGAGCTTTAACTCTACCAAAAAGCTAATAAAAAAAAATCATCCATTCATATCAATTACCATAACACTTCACCTAACAAACAACTACCAACCATTTATGCACAATCCTATCTAACCGATAGTTAACAAGGAAACTAACTCTCCATTGCTAACTCTATATGCTAACTACTAATTTAGAAAGAAACTAATCCCTTAATGCGTGACAGGATCTTTGAATGTTGCGTCGATCATTGGGAGCTTGCATATTCTTCCACAACTGCCAAACAAAATAACCCAAACATCACATTCTACAATGTCAAATGAAGAACCGATAATTGCATATTCATGTAAATGAAGATGAATTACATTGGTTTGGGTTTAGAAGGAATTAACATCATCATCAATAACCATCTATCTGTCTCTCTCCATTTACCCTCGCCAAAAAATTAGAACTCAAAAACTTAGCTCTTCAACGAATATCAAAAAACTGATCATATGCGAACACCAAACCAAATTCAGTCAATACAAGCATAAAAACGTCTTCAAACTACTATAATCTCGAATATTAATATTATTCAATCAAACTATCCAAATATCGCTTACACCAAATTTCCCCAGTTATTTCTACAAATGAAAAAACCCTAATTTCGAAATAGATAAGAACAATTTTGCCTACAATACTACAAAACCCTAAACAGAGACTTACCTTGAACAATCGATGAGTGAATCCTTCGCAAAACACCCCAATTTGTCTTCGATTTGCTCCGATATTGGTCTGGATTGAAGTTGCCATTACAGAAAAAATATCGTCGACATGAAAGCTAGAGAAGGAAAATGGTCGGGATTTTTTTGCTCGACATTGGAGAGAGAACAACTATCTTTCCGGTCATTCCTCTTCACCTCATCTCCACGGCGGTTCCAAGACAGTGGAGTATTTTCACCCATAAACTCTTCTTTTCCTCTTTCCACCGTAAAAAGCCCATTTCCTCCTAAAGACCCGAGCAGATCCTACCTTTCTCAAGGAATCTCGGCCCACTTCCTTCCATTTTTTTTTTCCGACTTCTTTCTTCTCTCCGATTAGCAACTCAGTGGTCTTTTTGAGCTATTTTCTTATTCGAACGTCGAAGAGCCTTTAGAAAACATACCTCCATCATGTTTTCTGGGTCTTCACGTTTTCTCTATTTTGCATGAGTCTTGCCCCTACTCGAGGACCGAAAATCCCTTAAACATCTTACACAAACAAACCTCATAAATTTAGAGAGGTATATTAAATATAGAGATGATTAGTGGATAATATAGGCGAATAATTTGACCCAAAATTCTTGACTTACAAAATTAATGGGCTTTAGTAAAATTAGTAGTTAACACCATACAATTCGTATGTTTAATATACCTTAGTAAAATTAGTATATTACGCCATACAATTTGTTTGTATCAAGCTAAATAGGGAAAATTGCATTTTAAACCTTTAAAGTTGAATTCACTAACACTTTAAACCTTAGAAATTTATCAGTGACATTATAAACCATGAAATTACCAAAACTAACACATTAAACCTTGAAATTTAGCTCTAACTTCCGTCAAAATTGTTAACGGAAAAATTAACCCTGTCAACAAAACATTCAACTCCGTTCAATTTAATAAAACGTACTGATTATTTTAGTCATTTCGAAAAAAAGAAAAAGAAAACATGAGTCTCGATGGAAAAAAAAACGACGACCTAAAAACAAAAAATAGAAATCCCCAATTGATTTCCTGTGTGTTTAATTTTTATTGTTGGAATTGAACTTGTTGAGGTTTTCTCTTTCTTATTGGTTTGATTAAGTACCTGAGCCTGTAATTAGATGTGTATCCTTCTATGTTTTTCTCCAGCAGGTTTCGTCTTTCAGAGAAAGCAAATCTAATGATTGAAAGTGCTATATATTCACAGCTTCATCTGAGAACTGATTCTGAAAGTGATAGAGGAGATTTGTCCATATCAACTGAAAGATTAAAGAAACGGTTGCACAAGTGGGGAATGAACGAGAATCTCGTAAAAAAGTGCGAGCATATCATGCGCTCAGATTTGCTGGATTTTTCTTTTTCGCTTCTTGTCAAATTTTAGACTCGATTTGTAACCAGATCAGTTGGCTCTTGTTGAATTTCAGACTCGATTTGTAACCAAATCAGTGGCTCTTGTCGAATTTGTAGAAAATCGAAATTTCTGAGTTCAATTTTAGACTCTCATAAACCCTAGCTACTTTCCAAAATCGATTTAGGGATTTTACTCTTTTTTTGTTTGTTGGTCGCTGTCGGGTTCTTTTTTCAACGAGACACATGTTTTTTTTAAATGATTGAAATTAAAATAATAAGTATGTTTTATCAAATTGAACAGAGTTATATGTTTTGGTGACAGAATTAACTCTTCCGTTAACAATTTCGATGGTGCAAAGTTGAAACTTAATTTTAAGTTTAATGTGTTAATTTTGGTAATTTCATGGTTTATAGTCTAACTGATAAATTTCTAAGGTTTAAAGTGTTAGTAAATTTTATTTTGAAGGTTTAAAATGTGATTTTCCCATGCTAAATATGTTAATGTTTCTTACTAATAATAATAATAATATTGAATATAAAAGATATACATAAGTCTAAAGCTAATACAACATTTCACTTTTATAACTTCAAATTTGAGAAGGAAAACACATTCATATATAATAATAAACATATTTTGTTTGATACATAATAATTAACAATTATGTGTTTTTAATTCAGATAAAACCTATAATATAGAATAGTTCAACTTATTTAACTACAAGAAATTATCCCGTTTACAACGACCACATATGCTGGAATGGTACCTTGCTCCGACTACTATCTTGCGGCTGATATCTTGGCTTATGACAAAATCGACATTCCAGCAATTTATCATCATCTTTCCAAAATAGCATGCAATTGTCAACACATACGTCTATTATTTGAGAAGGCAACCCAATACCAGTAATAAGCTATCTCATAGTAAGTTTCAGCAACTATATTATCCTTCGGCAAATACTCTTTAATAAGGTCAGTCCAGTCATCCATGCAAGTTTCAGATAAGTTATGATTAGTTTTAATAGTCATCATCTTAGCCGCCAACGACAATTTAGATTACCCTTGTCTACAACCATTATAAAGTGGCTGATTAGCAGCATCTAGCATATCATAAAATCTTTTTGCATCTGGATTGGGTTCCTCATGGACAGGTGCAAATGTATTTCTGGTTTCATGAAATCATTTGTAACCATGTCTTGAATCCTATCATGATCAAGACCATGCTGCTCTGTAGGGTAATCAGGTTGTTGCAAATTGTTTGACTCATCGAAATTTGATGCCTGATAATTGCTACTACTACTAACTCAACTGTCTCCATGACCTTCTCCATGATGAAACCATATAAAGTAATGCATCATATACCCTTTATTTAATATATGCGACCACACATTTGAGATATTGATAAAATTTTATTCATGCATTTAGGACAAGGGCAATACATCATACGACTAGTAATAGTCTTTGAAAGTATTCCTGCCTCATGCATGAATCCTTCTACCCCTTCACTAAACTCTTTTGTTAGTGATCCCTCCGAATCAATACGATATATCCATTTACGAATTTTGTAAATTCACGATATTTTGTATATAATAATCACTATCAACTCTTAATTAAGAGAAAAGTGTTTATAAAACTCATACTTTTTTCCTTGTCATCAATTCAATCACATTTATAAATGTTGTAAAAAAAATTAAGGAAGGAGAGGCCACTACATTTGGAAATGTTGGAAATGTTATAGATTTTTGATTTTCTTCCCATCAAATTAGCAACAAATTATAACATCAAATTTACATCGACTTAACCATTTTCCGACGATTTTCCGTCGCCTAATAAAACCGGTACACCAAGAAAATTTAATGCGTTCACCTTACTCATATTATGTTGGTAAATCGTCGGTAATTGGCAACAATTTGAAATCATCAATAATTAGTCGGGTAATCAACGATGATTTAATGATGACTTAGTCAATCATCGCTAAATCATCGTTAATAACGACTAATTATTGATGATTTCAAATGGTCGCCAATTACCGACGATTTAACCACGATTTACAAAGCTTTCAGTAAATCGTCGTTAAATCGTTGGAAAATTTTGATGGTAACAACCTGTTTTGTTGTAGTGTTTTTTGGAATTCAGCAAAAAAAAAAAATAGTATGCTCAATAATGTTTTTACAAAATAATTTCACTTAATTGAAGATAAAAATATATCCCTAATTTTTAATATCTGAATTACATTTTTATGTCTATTTTCTGTGATATCTCATTCTAATTCTTAAAATGAACATACCTAAACATATATATAAAAAAAAGTTAACGAATTTTTTTGTTTTGAAGTGCAACTACAATTTATGTTTGATATTAAGCTCATGCTTGCTTAACTATATATATTTAGTAATTGCTTGATTGATATGATACAAGAGTCATGAGTCATGGGGAACAAATTATCTATGAACGAAGATTGATTTCCTATTTGACGATGATTTTATTTATTAAATGGTAGTTATAATTGTTACAAAATGGAAAGAGAAATTGAACTAAATGCCATCAGAAACTTACGAAATTAAAGTCTCCTAAAAACGACACTGTTACGCCAATAAGAAAAAGACTACCAAACCCCTATAACTGGTTTCGTGAGGTATTAGAATATAAAATAGATGTGGGGGCTCTCCAGGTATTGTCAGAATTACCGACAACAATATCCAATTGTGGCTATTTTTTTAATTCTCTTTGATATTATATTTTCGGAGAGAAAATGATCTAGGATTTTTATCTAAAACCGCCTCCATTATCAGTTATCTTCGATATTTTTCTCTGGGAAAAAGATATTTCATATTTTTGCGTCTCAGTTTCTATATTTTTGATTGTGTGTTGGACGAATTGTTGGAAGCTGAAGCCGCGACGAAGTAATTCTGGTTCACAATCTCGTATATTATGTGGTTAGTGGGTTTGATTTTGGGATAGAAGACTCCCGATATTTTTTTGGGTTTGTATTTGTAGATGTTGAAAATCGACTTACCTATGAGGATTATTTCAGCCGGAGATGAACCTTGTGGGCAGAAGGTGATTACCTATAAGAAATTCACGATAATCCAAGAGCTTGTAGCCGCTTTAGAAGATGACGAGGTTGATTTCTTTAAAGACTCTCAGCTGGGAAAATTACTGTATATTTCATCCAAGCCGGCATGGTCGGGGACATTCGGATTGTTCCTTTTATCTCGCCAGCTAGAGGTCAAGCGGAAGAACAAAATCTGGATCTTATTTACCGGTAATCCAATAAGATTTTCTCTTCGCGAGTTCAAGATAGTTACTGGTTTAAACTGTGGGAGATTTCCGGCAAGGGAGAAGAAGAAGAGGAAATCCCCCAACTATCCTCACTATGACAGACTTTTTGACAAGAAAGAAGAAAGTCGGCTCAAAATGGAATGTCTGGTGTTGGTTGACTACTATGTTATCAGAATCCCTGGTTATATGGATAACTTCGGCTATTATGTTATCTGTTACTTGAGAATATCCTTTGCATTTTCCAAGCACCGTTCATAGTTTAGACTAACTATATACATATGTTAACATAGTTAACACTTACCTATTAGTGTGCCGTCTTCGCAGTTGGCAGTCGTACTAGTCCCCGTTATCTGGCATTTGTAGGGTAGCATTTGCATTACCCGGCTAACAAAGTTATCTGGAGAGAATGTTATATGAACACTTTGTTCTTCATCCGATCGTTATTTATTTTCCAACATATATTAATATTTACTTAAACTTACTTGCAGTGTTTAGCCTGTTAACTTTGAAAGTTACCTATAAGTCAGAGTTATCTGTCAACACATCCGCTAATTTAGTTACACTGATAATAAGATAATACTTGATAACTTCAAAAGCAAACTGGATCTCACATTTCTTTTGGTTATTTTTTCTGTTGCCAGTTGAATTGGCCGCCACTACTAGGTACCTGAATACATGATCAACACTACCACCTTCAATTTTTGTTAAATAAAACATATATGTTATATCTACTGTTGAACACATTAGTATAATAACAAGTTACCAGTTACCTATTATTTCGTTTTTTTTTCCGATTGTTATTTATTTCTTAACATATATTAATATTTAATTAAATTTGCATGCAGTGTTTAGCCAGTCAACTTTGGAAGTTGACTCTAGGTCAGAGTTATCTGTCAACACATCTGCTAATTTAGTTACACCGATAGTAAGATAATAGTTGATAATTTTAAAAGCAAACTGGATCTCACCATTTCTTTGGTTATTTTGTCTATTGCCAGTTGAATTGGTTGCCGCTACTAGATTACTTGAATACATCAACACTACCACCTTCAGTTTTTATTAAATAAAATATAAATGTTATATATACCGTTGAACACATTTAATAAAATAATAAGTTATCAGTTACCTATTACCTCTACAAAAGATGAGCGGCGAAAGATTTTCTTACAACATTTCAATTGTATTTTTTTATATCCTGTCCATGCACTGTATAAACATTAAATGCTTTTTGCATCTGTTTTGTTCAATTGTAAAGATAAATTTATCTACAACGGTCATTGTATTTCTTTCATTTATAAACTTTGCTTTCTATTTTTTTAATAAATTAATTTTGGTATTCAGCCACTTAACTCAAACAGAAACACACAATTTTTAATTCGGTATAGAAATTCTTATTTGGTTCAGATTATTAAATTCGGTACAAGTTCGGGTTGATTTCGGTTTGGGTTTTTCTCTCTCGCTCTCACCACTTTACCGACAAAACAAGGCTAAATATTTAAGGCCCAATAGCCCGATCTACACAAAAGCCTTTTAACTAGATTTGATCGCTCTTTCATCTTCCCCAAACGTCTTTTAGGGTTTCACCCACCACCAAACACAGAAGTGTGAGAGGGAGAGAAAATGCCGGCGGGACACGGAGTGAGGGCGAGAACTAGGGATCTCTTCGCAAGACCTTTCAGGAAGAAGGGTTACATCCCACTCTCCACATACCTCAGGACCTTCAAGGTCGGCGATTACGTCGATGTGAAGGTTAATGGAGCTATTCACAAAGGTATGCCTCACAAGTTCTACCACGGACGTACTGGTCGAATCTGGAACGTCACAAAGCGCGCCGTTGGTGTCGAAGTCAACAAGCAGGTCTGTAATATGTTGAAGTTTTTGATTTGATCTGTTTGAGTTCGTATTATTGTTCATGTCCATTATGAAAGATTGTTGATTTGCTGAATTAGAGTTAGAACAGATTGTGATTCTTTGATAGTTTGATATGGGTTTTGTTTAGCTATCGATTTAGAATGTTGGAATGGGCGAAAGATGTTTCTATCAATTGGTTTTTCTGTTTGTATTAACTGCAATTAATCTATACGATAATTCTTGTGATGATTTGATTTTTTGACTTCAGATGTTTCCTTAATATGTTGAAGTTTTCAATTTGATCTGTTTGAGTTCGTATTATGGTTCATAACTAATTAAAAGATTTTTGATTTACTGAATTAGGGTTGTTTTTATGACATGGGTTAAGTTGTTTTTTTTGTTTAGCTATTGATTTGTTCGCATTATGGTTCATGGTTACCTTTATCTTTGTATCTGTCTTTGAATTTCAAGTTTTTATGGTAATGTAATCTCTTGAAGAGCTAATTTGTAGTGTGGCTTTGTGTTGGTATTTAGATTGGGAGCAGAATCGTAAGAGCTAATTTTTCGATTTGATTGCTTGAATTTTGACCTGTTGGAGTTCGTATTATGATTCATGATCATTTTGAAAGATTGTTGATTTGCTAAATTAGAATGAGAAGAGATTGTGATTCTTTGATATGGGTCAAGTAGTTTTTGAGCTCTCGGCTAATTTTTAAAATGTACGATTGTGTATTGGTTCTTTGATTCATGACCATTTTGAAAGATTGTTGACTTCTGATTTAGAGTTAGAACAGATTGTGATTCTTTGCTATGAGTATATCGATTTAGAGTGTTGGAATGGGCTAAAGTTACTAGCTTTATTTCTTGTGTCCTTCTTTTGCTACGATTCGGTTTTGATTTTGACTTGAGATATGTTGCTTTATCTTTGTATATGTTTTTGAATTTCAAGTTTTTATGGTAATGTAATCTCTTGGAGAGCTAACTTGTAGTTGGGCTATGTGTTGGTGTTTAGATTGGGAACAGGATCATAAGGAAGAGGATACATGTGCGTGTGGAGCATGTGCAGCAGTCAAGGTGTGCTGAAGAGTTCAAACTCAGGAAGAAGAAGAACGATGAGCTCAAGGCTGCAGCCAAAGCCAGAGGAGAGACAATCAGCACCAAGAGACAGCCTAAAGGTCCTAAACCGGGTTTCATGGTCGAAGGTATGACCTTGGAGACTGTCACTCCCATCCCTTACGATGTTGTCAACGATCTCAAGGGTGGATATTAAGTTTCCATTTCGCCATTCTCTATTCAGATTTTTGCACTTGTTTTTTCTTTCCCCCCTTGTATTTGAGCTATGACTGATTTCTATATTGGTATGAGGATGCAGTTCAGATGTTATTATAAGAGATTGTTTATCATTATCATTTGATTATTGCATTCATTTGTTTCTAACATCAATTCCGATGTAATAGACTTGCGTACTCCGAGAAATTGATTCCTCGAAAAAAGCTGAGACATTTTACTTAAATATTAGCATGTGAATCTGTAGTCTTTGGTTCCGACACTCTCCTTAGCACAACAACTAGTGACTATATGTAGGATTTATACTTGATTGAAAAAGACGCATGACTGTGCATTTGAGAATCGTACACCAATGATCAAAATAAGAAGACATCTTCCAGATTCACTGTAACCTCCAAAGAAACCATAACCAACTATTTGCTGGCTCTATATCTCTGTAGAAATCACTTCAAAGTTCCCCAGAAAATTGGGTGCTTTTCTTTCCAGCTGAAAGCCGATATCGCCATTTTGCAAAGAAAGGTAGCTTTACCAGCAAAAGAGCATCCCGTTTACTGAAAATAAGAAGAAAATCAGTTTCAAGGGTGAAACCCCAAGGAGAGGTGAGCAGAACATCAACTCTCAGAAAGACAAAAACGTAATGTTTCAAGAGTATGATGCAAAAGTTCTTTACAGGTTTAGGACAAACCTTCTGTTCAACTTTCTTGTAGTAACTAACATAATATGTTGAACAAAGCGTAATGTGCTATACAATCCCTTAGCCCTGCTAGCACCTTGGTGCTCAAATGCTCCACTTCAAACTGGTAGAGACTGAAGAGAAAGATTTGTTTTATTGTAATCTTTGGAAAGAAAGAAAGAGATGACACACAAACAGATCAAGAATCACCTGAAGAGTTACTTATTCATATTCTCTTGTTTTCCCATAGCAACTCAATTCGAAACTAGTGCATATTCTGGAGATGGAAATTCAAAGAACAGATGGTTGTACATGTATTGGTTATACATAAGAGAACTCAAGGAAATTTGGTTTATTTACATAAGCAACTGAATCCACAAAAACAGAGAGACCAATCAAAACAAAATCACTTTCTGCTTCAAAGAGATCTATCAGACCAAAGACTCGAAATTGCCACAACAGACCAAGCCTGACAAGCAAGAGAAACCATGGCTGGTGAGGCACACCTGTGTACAGTGTCAGCCAATAACCCGAACCCTATAAACAGTGCACCTATCAAACCAACCGCCGAGCCAAACCATGACCATGGCAGAACCAGCGGGAAGTTATGTGCTGTCATCTTCTTCACGCAATCGTCTTCTCATCCTTCATCAGATTGAATGGTGGTTAACACTTTGCTAACCTCTTTGACAATCTTCTTGATAAACTTGGCCTCGGATCTGTGACATTAGAGAGAAAAAATTTGACTTTGGAAATATATCTCTGCCATTAGATTGTTTAATATAACATTTCTGGCTTTCAAAATCTAGTCACGATACAAGGCTTGTGTATTAACAAATATTATCTTATTATTTGACTTTTTCTTGGACAGCTAAGTTTCAAGTTTCAACTATATATATGTAAACGGTATCTTTTTGGCACTACAGAAAAAACGGGTTTTAATAGCGGCTGAAAATCGCTATCTAACGATATAATAGCGTTTAGTTAAGCGCTCTATCATCGCCCACGATAATAGGTCTGGCACATTATATAGCGGTTTTGGGCGTTGCTATCGATTCAACATTAAATATAGCACATTTTTGTCTGCAATCATATATAATACAATAGCATTTGGATTTTGTTATTATTATATTCTCACAGCATTCTGGGTTGATAGCAGTTTTTTATTATGCTACACTTGTTCTTTCTTATTTAAGCTGTGCTTGTTCTTACGGTAAAAAAAAATGACATTTATTGATATTCAAAGTATTACAAAGGCCAAAGTATTACAAAAGACCTAAATCACAAATATACACAAATATATAATTAGAAGATAAATTTGGATGCAGTCACAACTTCCAATCAACAGCAACTGTTGTACCTCCCAGATCATGAGTGTGCCATCAGATCCTCCATTAAATCTGAAATCACAAAAAAGAAAGCTTTAGAGAATGATATATCAACTTAGGCATGTATAAATTTGCTATTTTTCCATGTCTCTCAGAATTCTGAGCTTTTTCTCTTTGATTCTCCTTTACTTTGAATAACCTAATCATTGCTTATGACCTCAGCTCGTAAGAAATCACACAGCTTGTGACAAATCAAAATATGGTTAATAAAGTACTCGATTTGAGATTTAGAACTTAACTATTTAACTCATAAACTTTGTAAAGTCCAAAAAAGAGAAACAATCATGGATGGTGTTTGTTACCTTCTGTACATGGCCTCGAAGAAATCCCTCACAAGTTGTCAACAACGTCTCCCGAAAGATCCTGATGAAAATTGGGAAAACCAGTTTGGAAGAACATCTTGCAGTTTTCTTATTAAAGTTGAGAGCTTTCTTTCACCAATTCATATTGGAACTGAAACAGGAAAGAATATGAGAAAATGGAAGAAGCCAACTTATTCTTGTAGTGTGGGAAGGTCATGGCAAAAGATAAATAAAAGAGGTATTCACAGAAATGTATTAATTTTATAACGATATTTGTCGGTTATAAATAAGAATAAACTGAAAACAGTCACATCTTCATTTTAAAAAAAAAAACTTTATAGAAAATAATTTAAAGTAAATATTTCCAGTAATCATAGATTAATAAAATCACTTACCAAGATATAGTTATTTTAAATACAACAAAATATTTCATGAATATATAAGTTATGAATATATAAGTTTGAGTTATATTTTCCATGAATTTAATATTCGTAGATACAAATAAGAAAATGCCAAAAGGTTAATATTCGTTATATAAAATACTAATTTATTCTCGCGGATAGTTTTTTAAAGTTCAACGATTAATGGTGCAAAATAATAAAGTTGATGTCATACTTTTTGCTTTTGGAAGAATGTAAATGAGGTGTTTTAGTAAACTTGAGAAAATTTTGTGATAGAACCAAATCAAGAGATACGCATTGGTTAAAAAATGTTTTTAGAAAACAGTTGGTTGAATGATGTCTTTTTGTTTATCTTTAGTTTTTGTAGAAAAGTGAAATAATGAATACTAGGTATCTGTCCGCGTCGCGTGGACACAATCATCGTATAAATCTTATTATAATTTGATTATTGAAATTCTCGTAATATTAACATCACATTTTTATTTTTAATAATTGAGACTAAAATATTGTATAATAAGATACACAAGTTTTAAGTTATATAAATACTTATACAAAGAAATAAATCATACAAAAACTAAAATAAATTATGTAATAAGATCCAACACACAAACTTTAAGTTATATAAATACTTATAAAAAGAAATTAATAGAACTCTACTCCATTTTTGAAAAGTTGCAACTTATGATGAATACTCTAGATAGATTATTGGTTAACACAATTTATCTGTTAAAGGAAGAGTCGAATTTTTGTTACAACACGAAATTTTTTGGCCCATAAGATGTATAAAAATATTGGGCTCAGATGATATATAATTTAAGTGTAATATAATAAACCGTTTACATCAAACAGATTTAGAATCAAATCGATTATATATGTTATTGACATGCTTTTTAATAATCCAACACACACTATTTTTTGACAGAACATTATTAAAAATAATTAATATCGTTTGTAATCCAATTTATTAAAATATATTATTATTTATTAATCACAAAACAGCCTTGTAAATACAAAAAAATTGTCTAACAAAACTAATAATATATATCCTTTTAATCGGCCAAATCCATCAGACATCATCTGTATCCAGCCCATATAATCTCTCTCTAATCCTGAAATTTTAATAACAAAATCATGTAGATCTAAATTTATGAAAATATTTTTTTTTCATAAGTCAATTTAAACAACACAGAGAAACATACTTACATATTGCGCAAGGTTAAAACTTCATCAATAGGTGAATCAGTGATAAAACGGGACACACCATCATCATCATGATCTTTGATAGACACATTCTCTAAAACATATATATTGGAATATTGTTATGTTATATACAACGATTTTATAAATAACATATTGATGTATCATCAGAGAACATACCCCCGTCAATTGCTACACACCAATCGGTTAACACACATATAACAAAGGGACATTCGTATTCTCTACAATTATCTCTTATTTCAGTTGCCAACTCACCGTGTGCAACACACTCTAGCATAAACTCCCTATATTTTGACAAAGATGTAGTTAATAATTAGTTAGTTAAACTTCAAAAACATATAGTTTGAGATATACTTACTCCCGGGTATGTAATAGTAAAATATCTAGCATCTTCGACGACTTCAATCAAATCTGCGATTGTAATTAGTCAAAATAAAGAAATTAGTGCGAACTATAAATTTTGCATTATAAGAAGATACCAAAATATTCTTACCAATTAGATAATAATGAGCATTTGGGATTCATAAATCGAGAGGAATGATTTATAGAACAAATTATTTGTTAATGGTAAAGCTGGTGAAATCGTTGTTCCCTTTGTCAGTGTAATAACGTAATCGTGTTTTGTAATACTTTGGATATTAGTCCAGCTGTAAGGATTCAAAAGAAATCCAGTCAACATAAACCATTGATTTCCATCATCTGATTGTTTACCCGAGCCTGTATTTTATAACCCTAGAAGTTTATACGATAACATTAGAACAACAAAAGAACAAATTAGTGTATGTTAAAACAATAAGCATAACCAATAATAAATATCACAAATACCATTATAGGTTAATGAAATTTACCCTTTCATCGACCAGAATGAAATTTAGACTTCGATTATCGTCCGAGTAATCCACCACCCATTTTTTGAGTATCTTCACTATAATTCTCTAGTCAGATCTTTGAGAGTCCAATTGACGAACAAAATCATAATCCGCCATTGCGTGATGACTATCGTTTAGGGTTATGCAATTTAGAGTATATTTATAAAAAAAATATGATTTTATATTAATCTATAACCGAAAATTAAGAATATTAACATTTCAGGATAAATATAGATAAGGAAACAGTATTATCTTCGAGTAAAATAAATAGATATATATATATATTGAGGTTTTTCTATTTAAAATTATGTTAATATTCCAATTCTCATTGTTACCAATTGTTAAAATTGTTTACTATAGCACCATCTATATATTTTAAATGAAAAATTTATTGTGAAGAAAATTTACATTAGCTAAATCATAAACATCTACGTATATATTTTAAAGATGGTGATTTGTTATCGTGTTCAAGAACGCGTAAATTTAACCAAGTAATTATTTCTTCAGTGAACAAACAAAAACATATGTTTCTAGATTCTTATTTTTTCTTTCATAGATGCTACAAAATCATATTATTTATAAAACATAGTGTTTAGTAGAACATGATAAAATCAATAACCAAAAACCAAAAAAAAACGATAACAAAGATAATAATAAAAATATAAATTATAGCTAGTACATATCTAAAAAAAGAACTGTTTCCATGCACTTCGTTTCGTATCTTCACCCAAGTCCTGAAATTAATATTTAAGAATATATGTAAACAATATAGTACTACAAAAAAACTATATTAAGGGAGTAGGGTTAATGTCATAATAATTATCTTACTTTGCCCGAAATTCAGAAACTTCATCCATTCCAGGAGCAGTCATGAAACACGAAAGACCTTCTTCTTTGTGATTTTGGATAGTAATTTCTTCTAATAAAAAAGAATCAATACGCACGATGATATCTAAAAATTCAAATTGTTTAGAGTTATATCGAATTAAAAGGTATACCTCCAGTTCTCGTAATACACCAATCGGTTAAAACACAGACGTCAAATGGACCATCATATCCTATGCATTGTTCCTTTATGTCAGATGCTAATGAGCCATGTGCGATACATTCCAATGTATTATCCCTTCAAATTACATAATAGAGTTATTGTAAAACTAAATTATCATAACAATAAGCAATAGAAAATAAAAAGAATGCACTTACTCATTGTTCTTATGACGAAAACGAAGTGTCAGGACAATTTTTCCATCTGTCTGCACAACTGGTATGAGATCTCTTATAATGTCAAGTACACCAAACAAATCTGAATAAACACACATATCAATAAAACTACAGCGAATTTTTCAAAAAAAAAAACAAGAAAAACAAATAAACAATATATGATTATACTAACCAATATGATACTCATGAGCGAAAAGATTATTAATAATCTGTGAAAATTGTACGAAACTGAGGAATGCCTTATTAGATATTGGTATTATACGTGAAACCTTTGTGTCATCAGTCAGAGTAATCATAAAATCGTGTCTAGTTATCTTATCACAATCATTACTGAGCTATCGGTTG